ACCTCTCTTTTCCCTGCATAGTTCTCTGGTCAATCACGGAAATCAAGAACTTGGTTACACACTCAACTTCCCCACTTTTCTTGCTTCATAGCCTCATTTGGCAAAATTGAAGGGTAGTTAAATACAACTCTAACTATCCATGTGAATGAATGTGGCTGGAAAAAATACATAAGATGCTGATAATGACTACAGATAAAAAATAAAATAGAGGAAGAAAATAGAAAGAGCTGGTTGTCACTGTAGTTATCTGCTATGTTTATAATCTGATTCCCTCAACCAGAACAGAAGGTACATGAGAAAATGGATGCTGACTGTTTCATTCACTGCTGTTTCCCTAATATATCACTAACTTATATTTATAAGACATGGCACCAGCAATAGCAGGACACACATCCTTTTTGAGGGCACATGGAACTTTTGCCATATAGACTATGTTCTGAACCACACAGTAAATGTCAGCAAATTTAAAAGCATTAAAGACATATAATGTATGCTTTCTGAATGAAATGAAATGAAATTAGAAATCAATATTTTTAGAAGATATTAAATAACAGACTCATTATTAACCTTCAGATCAAAGAAAGAATCAAAAGGAAAATTACAAAACATCATAGCCTGAATAAAAATGAAAACAAAATATAGAAAGCTGTGAAATGTCATTATTGCAATAATTAGAATTTACAACACCAAAAGCCAGTATTATAAAAAATAAATATTATAAATCAATTACCTCAGCTTTTACCTTAAGAAACTAAAAAAATAAATAAATAAAGCAAATAACACATGAAGGAAGGAAAATAAAGATTAAAAAGTAAAGATAAGAGTATATACAAGTAACATAAAAAATAGAAAAAGAGTAGAGAAAATCTATGAAGCCAAGAGCTGGCTTGTTGAAAAACTTAAATTGATCAGCCTTTCTCTAGAATGATCAGAAAAAAACTCAGGAAGACACATATTACCAATATCAAGATGAAAGAGGTGACATCATACAGATTGTACAGATATTATTAGGATATTAGGTAAGGTTATAAGTAACTTTATTTCAGTTGCTTTTATACCAACAGTTTAGAATTGATAAATTGATAAATTTCTTGAAAGATACAAACTACCAAAGCTTTTGTTTATTGAGTGAGGGCCTGCTGATGCAGCTGGTGCTGAGAGGGCATAAGAACCCTCCTCAGGTTTCATGCTCTGTATGCCTCAGATGAACCAGTGAGTTGACTTTTGGTTTCACCCCAGAAAGTTGACATTAGCTTTTCTAAAGGGAAAGTCAAACTTGAAACTTCACAAGCAGTGCTTTCTTGGCCTTTCTGAGACAGGAAGCCATCCAAGCATTGGTGTGTGCCAAAGAATGGCGTCGTCCAAGGCACGGATGGGGCTCAAAGAGATAAAAAGTTATGCTGAAGAATTTTATCTAAACTTGTTATAAGTAGGTTTATAAATGTAGTGAAATGGCAGTGCAGGAGCATTCAAACATGATAAGAAATAATGAGGGATGGATAAAAGGGTGGCTTGCTTGAATTTAGGCACCATTTCTCCCCCAAGGTCTAGGGTTATCTGGAGGCAAAGGTTGAATTCTTTGTTTCCTTCTGTTGGGCTCATTTTCTCAAGGCTAATTAAAAGAGTTGTTTGGCAGCTTCCATGTTGTTCACAAAACTTTCCATCCACAGCTCTTCTTTTTTTTAGTATATGTCTCAGCTATACCTCCATTTACATAACAGAGACAACTTTTCAAGAAATGCTGGACAAAATGTGCATGCATGCTCAGTTGTGTCTGATTCTTTGTGACCCCCATGGACCATAGCCTGAGAGGCTCCTCTGTCAAAGGGGTTTCCCAGACAAGAATACTGGAGTGTGTTGCCATTTCTTCCTTCAGAGGATCTTCCAAACCCAGGGATCAAACCTGTGTCTCCTGCATTGGCAGGCAGATTCTTTACTCTTGGGCCACCTGGGAAGCCCCTCTTTTTTTCTTCAATTACCTTTAAAATCTGTACTTCAACCTCTATCATAAACATCAGGTATAAAATGAGAAATGGGATTTGAAGCCACAAATAATATTACCACCATGTTGCTTTCTGACTTGTTTTTAAGGAACAAAAAGACTATTTTAATTTTAAGGGGACAAGGTGGCTGATTTTCATGATTTATTTCTAATTCTCTTTGATATTTATAGTAAAGAGTCCTTTTCTGACATGATTTCTGATGTTTTACTCCCTGTTCTGTTATTGTTGTTCAGTTGTTAAGTCATGACTGACTCTTTGTGACCCCACGGACTGCAGTATGCCAGGCTTCCCTGTCCTTTACTATCTCCCTGAGTTTGCTCTAACTAATGTCCACTGAGTCAGTAAAGCCATTCAACCATCTCTCCCTCTGTCTCCCCTTCTCCTCTTGCACTTAATCTTTCCAGTATCAAGGTCTTTTCCAATGAGTCAGCTCTTTGCATCAGATGGCCAAAGTATTAATTTCCTTTAGGATTGACTGATTTGATCTCCTTGCTGTCCAAGGGACCCTCAAGATTCTTCTCCAGCATCACAGTTTGAAAATGTCAATTCTTTGATGTTCAGCCTTCTTTATGGTCCAACTCTCACATCCATACACTACACCTGGAAAATCCATAGCTTACTTGGTGCACACAGATGAAGGTTTGGAGAAGGACTGCAATGAGGACTGCAATTCAGGACCTTTAATAAAATGTCATGCTATCTTTTCTTGCATGAGTTTGCCCTCTCTTAGCAGTTCCTTAGATGTGCACTGGTAGTGCCTTATATATTAATTCTTACAAATCACATCATGTAAAATGTCTCATAGTAATTTGATTTATATGCTCATGATCACTAATAAGTAGAGAAACTCTTCATTCTTTTATTGACAGTCCATGTTTTTCTTTTCAGTAAATTGCTACTTTTTGGTCCACTATCTATTTTTTTCTATTGGGTGGTTTGTCTTTTTCTTATTTATTTGAGATAGATGATCAATAAACAGGTGAATAGATTAAAGGATAGATATATGACATATAAATAAGAATTACATTTTAGCTACATATGTTACAAATATCTTCTCATTTTTTGCTCTTGTTTACTAGCAGATGTTTTTCATTTCAATGCAGTGGACTACATCAATCACTTCCTTTGTGATTAGTGTTTTTTGTGTGTGTATACTTTAAGAAATCCTTTTTAACCCCAAGATCAGAATGATTTTCATCTACATTGCTTGTACCAGTTTAAAGCTTTGCTTCTGACACTTAATCATTAATCCATCTGGATTTAATTTTTCTACAGTGGGAGGTAGACATCTATTTCATAAATTCCATGTAGAAATACATTTTCTAAGCTCTGTACATTATATAATCCCTTCTTTAAGCAATGGCCTCCTATTACACTGTCATCATTTATCAAAATTCCATGTAGTCTTTGGTCTATTTCTATTACTTTACTTTGTTAATTAATTTGCTATCTTCTTGCAAAATCAAAATAATAATTGCTATAGTATAATAATTAGATAAACTTGGATAGTAACTGCCTTTGTTTCTTTATAGATTGGGAATCCTTTGAAGATACAGAATGTACCTCATTCATCTCTGTCTCCCCAAGAAGAACTTGTTATCTGACATATAAAATGCTCTCAGTAAATATCTTTCTGGCAATTTTAATATGAGGTACTTCTCCCATCAAGATGTGGAGTCTACATTCTCTCTCCTTGAACTTGGGAGAGCATGTTGTTATTTGACCTCTGGAATATAGTAGATATGATGTTGTATGTTCCAATCCTTAAGGTCAGGAAGCTTCTTCCTCATTTGCTGAAAATCTTGCCCTTGGAGCCCTGGATCATTATGTAAGGAGTCTAACCTCCCCAAGACAACCAATCCTGAAGTCAAAGCCACAGGAGAAGAGATGAGTAGGCATTCCTATCCAAGCTTTTGAGTTATCCCTTCCCTCATGCCAGGAGATTGAGAGAAGAATTCTCCAGGGAATTCTAGCCCTAGACACTTGAGTCACCCTGAGCAGTTCAGTCCTCCCAGCTGAGGCTCCAGGCATTGTGTATAAGGCGAGCCAATGACACTATGCTGTATGCAAATTCCTGATGTACTGAGCCTGGGAGTCTTATAAAAGGTTGTTGTTCTGCACTACTAAGGGTTGGAGCTGTTGACTATGCTGCCATAGATAGCTGGGATGTGTGTTAAATGGAGTGAGGGAAGACCACGTGTAGACAGAAGCACGGACAACAGCAAGGCTCTGGGACGCAGCAGTCCATGGACCCCGGGAGGATTTCTGCTACCTGACTACACATCCTCTCACTTTACTGGTCTCAGTTTCCCTTCTGTAAAACCATTATGTTGCACTCAGTAATTTAAAAATTTCCTTCTAGTTCTATTGTCTCTACTTGTAAACCAATCCAATCTGATAACCATGTTATTTAAAGCCAGAATAGGCCTACAATGGCACCCCACTCCAGTACTGTTACCTGGGAAATCCCAGGGACGGAGGAGCCTGGCGGGCTGCAGTCCATGGGGTCGCACAGAGTCAGACACAACTGAAGCGACTTAGTGGCAGCAGCAGCAGGCCTATTCATCTCAGAACTCTCATTTCCAGGATTGCCCAGTGGATGGATGCTAGTGGTTACTATTAATGCATTTTATTTACTGGATATATAACATTCAAAACCCAAATTTCCTAATAAAAATGATTTGTCATACATAATGTATTCTCTTACCACATTTAAAAAGATTAGAGACTGTACATATCTACTAGATGGAATTAAAAGATAACACAGAAGAGGTAACATACACAAAAATGTATATTCATATAATTAATTTGACAACAATTAGTTATTGTTAATTATTATTATCAACAATTTTCACAATGATAATTTAATTCAATTCTCAGTAATTAAGAAGCAAAGGCTACCGAAATTCTTTGATAAAATTTAGCAGGTAAACCCCTGAGCAATGATCAAAGACACTCCAATAAGGTATTGTAAGAGTCATGAAGTGATAAAAAGCAATGAAGCTTGCAAAACCTAGATATAAGCTCTCAGTAATACTGACAACACCCTGTCAGTTAGATATCACAGCACCGCCATTTTACAGATTTAAAAAAAAAAAACTGAAACTAAGGGAGACAAATGACAGTTGCTTAAAATTTTACACCTTCCAAATGCTAGAACAAAGACTCAAATGTAGATTCATGAGCTTAAAACCAACCTCTTTCCACCATGGTTATAATAAATCCCAAGTTGAATTTACATTTAAGACCTTACGCCAGCACACGAGGCAGCCTGCGTCCAGTGTCTCTGATGGCAATTGTGCAAAAACGCAGAGATGTAACTGTTCTCTCTATTAACTTCCAAAAAACCCTCAAGTTACAAATATAATAAAACATTCACAAAAATGATGCAAGTGTGCTATTTATGTCAGGAGAATGAGGGAGGCTAAGCTAATGAAATTCAAAATTTATAAAAAATATTCCCCACAAACCAAGAAAGACTAGATGACTGGGCTGCCCCTGCCCTTATCTTTCTCAAATATCAACCTCCTCAACCAGGTCTCTGATAAGAATTAGAAAGCAAACAGTTCCAAACTGGTCTTTCTTGGCAAGTTCTAGGAATAAACACCATTAAATAAATTTATTTTGAGTCATTGCAACATGCTGTAACCTGGATGTGCAATAGCACAAGTGTTGTGTGGTCCAGTAATCTTGGTAAGTGTTTTCATGAGAAAAGGTACCTTTCACTTGGATCTCATAGGATATTGTTAATATTCATAAGTTTTAACTACAACAAATATTAGGGTTTGAATTATTGAAAAATTCCTTTAATACTGTATATAAGGATGATCTTCACATGCAGCTCTTTCATAGGACTCATTCCTGATGCTCAGTGTAATCTGAATGAAGCCAGTGTGCCCCAGTCTTCTCCCTCATCATCCCCCACCAATAAAGTCCTCAAATGATGGACTTCTGTCCCCTTTGGTGGATTCCTTGGACATATAGAGGAATTGTTTTAACCTCAAAAACATGCAGGCAATTTGACTTTATGAGAATTCCCGATTTTTTCAGGCTTTTTTAATTCATGTGACTTTTAGTAAATGTCCACTGGTGGCTCAATATCCTCATAAATTAAAATTACCCACAAATTATTTTTTTTTTAAAAAGGCAAAACAAAAAATCTCCCTCTTGAAGACTGGAAATAAAAATACTAAGAGAGATTTCGAAAGGCCCTGGATCTGCTAGAAGATAAACTTAGAAGAGATTATCCTTTTAATAGTTTGCCTTGATTTAAAATTTTATTTTTAGTCTGCAAGTAATTCACATGCATCCCTTTGTTCTAGGTATTTTAACAGGCTTTGTAGGAATCATGTGACAAATCCTGGGCTCAGCCCTGTATTTGCATCTTTTTGCAACTTGTTGCCTTTGCCTGGAATACTCCATCCCTCCTTTCCCATTAGGAATCAGCTTTGGATAGCCCGATTTTTACCTCCTTTTGAAAATCTTCCTCAATTTCCTCAGATAGAATTGGGGGTCTTACAAGCTTATAAGGCAGCTGTGATTTTGTATTAGCAATCTGGACTTTTCATTTCAGTCAACAAATAGTCTTTGAAAAGCAAAATTTATATATTGTTTGCCTGTTATGTACCAGGCTTCACTCTAAGCCTGGGGAGATGATGTTAAGGGAGACCTGCCAGTCTGATGGAGGTTACACTAAAGTCCAACACACAAACCATCAATAAACATGTTAATAATATGATAGCATATGCATACAAGAAGAAAGAAAAGTAGGCAAGAATATAAACTCAGAGAGTTCTGGGTAGGGCCCTGTGAAGTGATGTTTGAGCAGAAGCCTGAGTGACTCTCAAGAAAACATTGTTCCAGGAAGAGCAGGAGCAAATGCAGAGCATGTAGGCATGGGGCCTGTTTGAGGCCAACAGGGCTGGAGCTTAATGAGTGAGGGGAAAAGTAGGAAAAAGGAATTTGTGATATGAACCTAGGATCTCATCATATAGAGTCCTACAGAACATGATCAACACTTTGAATTTCCTCCCAAGCCATTAAAGAGTGTTGAGTAAGGGTTGACATCATCTAATTCATGTTTCAAAAGCATCCATATGGGGTGACTGTCACAAACAAAAAGTTAAATGAAAGAAAGCAGCCACAAGAGCACATATTGCATCATTTCATTTATGGACAAGTTAAGACCACACTAATCTATGCAATTAGGATACAAGATACCAGTGACTGGAAGGAAGACAGTGACTGAAAGACTTAGGGGTATCCTGCTTCTTTATGAGTACTATTAATAATTACACAAATGTGTTATGTTTGTGAATATTTGGCTAGCTGATATTTATGTGAATTACTCTGAATACATATTATACCTTAGAGGATAAAAATTTTAAAAGGGAAAACTTTTTTTAAAAAAGCTAAATAAAGGTAAATCTAGTAAAGGTAGATAAAGTATCTACCCACTGACAAGCTTTCTGTTTTCAATGAAACTTGTTTTATAATGATTAAACCCAAGGCATAAAAAAAAAAAAAGTAAACCCAAGGCATAATATCAGTACTCAACTATTCAGACCTGACTTTTGGATTGTTGCTTGAATTGGTGAATGATGTCCTGTGAAGAAAAAAAGTGACCCATGCAATTCCAAAATAAAAGAACTCTCTAAACTAAAGAAAAAAAAAATAAAAGGAAAGCATTCATATGGCTATGGCCACTCAGTAACTGCCACATTCATCATTGCAGCCACTCCATCTGCTTAATTCACTATTTTTCATTATTTTTTGTATAATTCCCTCTCCTCATTTAGAATATAAAACATTGGGCTACTGAGGATAAAAACCTAAAAATCTAAGTGGGAGCACTCTTAAAGGCAGACACAAGTTAGAAGAGATTTCTGGCAGTCAAGCAAGACAATGGTTATGATTAGATGGGATGGCCCCATGGAATGTACACTGTGTTGAAAGCCCTGGCAGGCCAATGGTGGTGGAGCATAATCAGGAATGCAACCCCATTTTCACTTATATAATCCTGAGTTGAAACAAATGACCATTCTCCACCTGCCCAGTGAAGAGAAAGGTATGCCTTCTTTAGAAGAATATATTGCCTATAGACTTTAAATTTTTCAAATGCATAATAAATGCCATTTTAAAAATAATGATTTACTTTGAAATACAGAAACACATAACCTATAGCTGAGGAAAAAACAGATGATACTAATAGGCTACTCAGATTTTGTAGCTAGCTGGAAAAGATTTCAAAATAGTTATCCTTAATGTGTCTAAGAAAATAGAGAAAATGAAAGACAAAATTAGTGGAAAATGGAAAATTTGCATTTAAAATTGCAGTCTATAAAAATAATCAAATGATTATTTTAGGAAAGAAAAAATAAAACATCTGAAACAAAGAACTTAAAAGATAGACTTAACAGCATAAGGGTACAACAGAAACACAATTATTTCTGATTGAAACACAATAAAAAAATACTGTTAGTAGTAGAATATGTCTAATCTGAAGGACAGAGAGAAAAATGTAAATATAGAAAAGAATATTAAATAAATATGGGGCTTAATAAAAAAGATCTATTTTAGTATAGGAAGCAGACTCCAAAATGGGGTCCCAACATTCTTCCTGGAATATAAACACTTTTGTGTCATCATATTCCTTTTCTGTGAGATGAATGTAGTGACTTGCTTCTAATAAGTAAAATACAGAAAAAGACAAGGGATTCTGAGATTTTGTCACTAAAAGACTGTGTTTTCATTTTGATCACCATCTCAACCAGGGGACTATTTACCAAAGAAAAATTGCTAAATCGCTATAAGAACTCTGAGGTTTATGGTAGGTTGATTCACCCTAGTCCTATTCCCTGCCCCTGAGTTTACTAGCAGCCTCAAAAACAATGACCTGCGTTCCCAGATCAGCACCCACTGATGGTAGCTGACTCCAGTCACAAAGAATTATGTGTTTTGAACTGTCTGATGACTCCCTTGAAAACCAGCCCCAAAGGCTTGCTTTTATCTTACCTAACACAGAACCCACCTAGTCCTAAAGCTGTTACCTAATCAATATTTGTCCAAAAACATTTACAGGCAAATATTTTAGTCACTGATGCCTAAGACAATGAATAAAGTTGAGACAAAGAATAAATTAACTAAAACTTTGGGAGAAAAGTCTGAGAAATAAAACGCTTTGGGAAATAACGGCTTTGAAAAGCTCTGACATATTCCTGGAAATCTAGAAGACCGTGAACATTCTCAGGGCTGGGCACATGCTTAGTAAAGACCTGAGAATGCTCTGATCTGTCACTCCTGCTGACCTTGAGGCTGTGAAAGCAAGAAGTAAAGTCATAACTGTAATCTCTTTGACTGAATGCTGAAGACATGCCCTAATGTACACAGAGTTTCTTTGAAATGAATGGCAGAAGATTTGGTTTTTGTTTCTTTGTTTTTTTTTGTTTTTTTCAGTTTGGATCTAGGCATTCAAGATAACCACTAAATTAATGAAACTAAAATTTCAGTGGTCACACACACACAACAAAGATATAGCAGAATATCCAAAATTAGTTGAGGAAGTCTTTATCAAAAAACAGAAAATAGTAACTACAGCAAGATACAGCATTAAACCACTGATGAAGATAAGGGAGACTGGATTTCCAGAGTTGCCATAACATTTAAAACGTCCAGTTTTCAACAAAATATTGTGACACAAGTAAAGAAATAAGACACATACAGATGAAAAGGACAATTAATAAAAACTGTCCCTAACAGTGGGCTAATAAGACAAAGAATCTAAAATAGCTATAGTAAATATGTTTAAAAAATTTAAAAGCAAACTGTATCTGAAGAACTATGCTAAAAACTAATGTCTCACCAATAGAGAAATTACATATGTTATATACATATGAAAATATTGCAAAAAAGGGACAAAATACTATTTAGAATCAGAAATAACTGAAACAAAAAATTTGCTTGTGTGCACGTTCAGTCGCTTTCAGATCACTTCAGTCGCTTAGTCGTGTCTGACTCTTTGCGACCCCATGAATAGCAGCACGCCAGGCCTCCCTGTCCATCACAAACTCCCGGAGTCTACTCAAACTCATGCCCATCGAGTCGGTGATGCCATCCAGCCATCTCATCCTCTGTCGTCCCCTTCTCCTCCTGCCGCCAATCCCTCCCAGCATCAGGGTCTTTTCCAATGAGTCAACTCTTCGCATAAGGTGGCCAAAGTATTGAAGTTTCAGCTTCAGCATCAGTCCTTCTGATGAACACCCAGGACTTATATCCTTCAGGATGGACTGGTTGGATCTCCTTGCAGTCCAAGGGACTCTCAAGAGTCTTCTCCAACA